ACAGATACTTCGGATTTAGTGTAGATACTTAAAGAAACTTTCCCAAAAATGTACAAACAAAACATTTTCCATGTTTCTACTTTAATTAATCTACAATTAAGTTGCAGAAAATAAATAAAGTATGCTTTCCTTATTTTTTTGGAACATATTAAGAATAACAATTTTTTTTATATTTTTGCTTTAATCAACCTTGAGAGCTGCAATCACCAGTGTTTAAACTAAGGCGTAATAAAATCATGAAAAGTCACTAAAAATGATTGAAAAAATTCATTTTGTATTCTCAATGAACAGTTACGTAAATTGGTAAAATAATTTATAGCGTCAGATGTAACGTTTAGTTAAAAAAAAATTGATAAATATGGTTGAATTTTGCAAGGTACACTACCACCCCTTATGAACCATTAAATTATGGGTTTTCTTCGGTTCTTTTCGCAATTGTAGAAAATAAGAGTCACCCGTTAGATCGAAAGCACCGGTAGAAACGTTCCAGGACCGTAGAAGAGGGAACAGGGTGTGGAGACAGGGGGAAAAATGTGCCTATAGTGTGCCCACGTGTGTCTCGGGCTGGCCGTATAAGTGCATATCACATACGCCACATGCCTGCGCGTTTTTCCGGGGCGAAACGTGCACAGATGCTCGCGAGAAAATGGCTGCCGCTACTCCCGACCGGATACGATCAATTTTCCTTTACCAAACTTGAGATCTCGGCCCCTACACTACAAATTCGAACGTAATCTTCCTTTTCTCTGCAGAAATAACGACTAGACTGCGTATCTTAATGCAAATTCACATTTTTATTAATAGAATTAATGAAACGGAAGCTTGACAGAGCCTAAATATAATAATTCGTATCTTATTCGAAGTATTTCTCATATTTTCGCATATTAAAAGCATTCTCTAGTTTCTTGAGGATTAAAATTCCCCATCTGCAGTCTAGTTACTAATTAAATAGCACTCTGTGTATTAAAGAAACGACAAACTGATCACCCAGAGCATAACAGTCGCATCGTTAGTACCAAGATAACGTTTTTATCAGTCGGAGAGGACAATTTTCTGAACAACCTGACCATCGCTGTGTTTATGATGGAAGTTTGTCGCAGATCCCGGTTGCGTGCGCCTGCGAGTATGCGCAGAGGAGTGTGCGCGAGCGAGAACGCGCGCATGCGTGTTGCGTCGCTTTTCCACCGTCGAAATTCCCCATAAATGCAGAAACATCCGCAGCCTAATAATTCGTATAATAATTCGTATCTTATTCGAAGTATTTCTTATATTTTCGCATATTAAATGCATTCTCTAGTTTCTTGAGGATTAAAATTCCCTATCTGCAGTCTAGTTACTAATTAAATAACACTCTGTGTATTAAAGAAACGACAAACTGATCACCCAGAGCATAAAAGTCGCATCGTTAGTACCAAGATAGCGTTTTTATCAGTCGGAGAGGACAATTTTCTGAACAACCTGACCATCGCTGTGTTTATGATGGAAGTTTGTCGCAGATCCCGGTTGCGTGCGCCTGCGAGTATGCGCAGAGGAGTGTGCGCGAGCGAGAACGCGCGCATGCGTGTTGCGTCGCTTTTCCACCGTCGAAATTCCCCATAAATGCAAAAACATCCCCAGCCTAATAATTCGTATAATAATTCGTATCTTATTCGAAGTATTTCTTATATTTTCGCATATTAAATGCATTCTCTAGTTTCTTGAGGATTAAAATTCCCCATCTGCAGTCTAGTTACTAATTAAATAACACTCTGTGTATTAAAGAAACGACAAACTGATCACCCAGAGCATAAAAGTCGCATCGTTAGTACCAAGATAACGTTTTTATCAGTCGGAGAGGACAATTTTCTGAACAACCTGACCATCGCTGTGTTTATGATGGAAGTTTGTCGCAGATCCCGGTTGCGTGCGCCTGCGAGTATGCGCAGAGGAGTGTGCGCGAGCTAGAACGCGCGCATGCGTGTTGCGTCGCTTTTCCACCGTCGAAATTCCCCATAAATGCAGAAACATCCCCAGCCTAATAATTCGTATAATAATTCGTATCTTATTCGAAGTATTTCTTATATTTTCGCATATTAAATGCATTCTCTAGTTTCTTGAGGATTAAAATTCCCCATCTGCAGTCTAGTTACTAATTAAATAACACTCTGTGTATTAAAGAAACGACAAACTGACCACACAGAGCATAAAAGTCGCATCATTAGTTTCTTGTATGATATTATTTAGATCATCATCGTTTCTTTATAGCCCATTTCTTTCAATTTATGATCTTTCTGACTATCGTCGCTCTCGATGGATTACGTTAATTTAACGAGGTCGATAGTTATATCGTAGAATGCAACTTTCTATATCATTTTGTGGAATTTAGCATCAGTATACTTTCTCTGTATGCTTGGGACGAATATTTGAGCAAGATTCTTGTGCATTTTAATCGATAGATGATCAATAAAATCGGTTGCTATTAATAAAATTTCTCTTTGCTTTCGTATCATTATCTTAAATCGACAAAATCGACATAAAGTTTTTCCTACTTTACGGGGTCAAGGAACAACTTTTCGGAATTTTTTAGAATTTCTACATATTCTACACTAAAATACGCGTTGTTTGCCGTTTTGAACATTAAAATCGTCCGATTCGTTCAGGAGTTATGACATTTTAAAGATTTAAGGGAAATTTCGGGGACCTCGGGTTAAATTTTCGATAAAGAATTTTTTTTCTGGAAAGTGAGCAGGATTTCGGGGGTACCTGTAATGACCAAAATTGATTGTAATCCACCCCTGCAATTAAAAATATTTTTTCCAGAACGATTTGAAATTTTCTAATTTTGTCGAAAAATTTCTCATTTTCTCGAATTTTTTTCTAGAAAATGCGTAGGAATTCGGGGGTACCTGTAATGACCAAAATTGATTGTAATCCACCCCTGCAATTGAAAATAATTTTTTTAGAACGATTTGAAAAATTTTAATTTCACCAAAAAATTTCTCCACCTTCTGAATTTTTTTCTCAAAAATGCGTAGGGATTCGGGGGTACCTGTAATGACCAAAATTGATTGTAATCCATCCCTGCAATTAAAAATATTTTTTCTAGATCGATTTGAAAATATCTAATTTTGTCGGAAAATTTCTCATTTTCTCGAATTTTTTTCTCGAAAATGCGTAAGATTTCGAGGGTATGTCTGTTCACCAAAAATTATTGTAATCGATCCCTGCAACTCGAAATATTTTTTCCAGAATGATTTGAAACTTTTTAATAACTTGTTAACGAAGCCTCAATCAAGACTTTGATATTTTTGATTTTCGTCTGATTTTAGCCTCTAAAATCTCCCATTTAAATTTTTCCCAACGTTAACGAACACCCTGTATACCACTGGTTGATATCAACAAACTCGAAACCCCTAAATCACCAAGTTTCACAAAGATTTCCAACGAAATCTTGAATTCTGTCCACGTTCCCGACCCCTTCAGTCCACCGTGGGGGGGGAATCCCAGTTGGGCCAGTGGTACCCCGGCCTCGAACAACGAACGACGCGATCGTCGTCCATGAAGCAGCTAGAACGTCACGATTCCGTGGAAACGCAGTACGCAGCGATGTGTAGCGTGACTCGGAGCGAGCTAACGATTAAACAGCATCGAATTACAAAGAGTAGAAGGGCAGCACCCACGTACATACACGTCTCCTTTGAGAAAACGCAGCCAGCCAGAACGAAGCCAGACGGTGGTGCCGGCCTAACGGGCTTCCTTCTTCACTTTTCATTCATACACGACCATCCACGAAATCTCTGGTGCTGGCCCCCCCCTCCAGAGGACCACCCGTCTGCCACGTTTCCTACAGAAATAGATGCGTCAGGATGCCCGGTGTCTCGGGACACCGGAAACAGTCGCTTCCCGTCGTACGTTCTTCTTTTTTCGAACACCCTCGCGTTCCTTCTCACTTCCCAATAAAAAATTCGACCTGAACGAGCTTCTATCTTTCGCTGTTCGCCTCTGCAACCGACTGCTCACCTATTTCAAGGTAACGGTGCGAGATCATAGGTGACGCGAGATGCATTACAGTTATATGCCTGGACGCATGGCGTACTTTAATCTCAACCGACGTTTCGAACGCGCCTTCGAGATGAAAAATAAGATTATAGAAAATATATAAGAAAATTATGATTTGTCTTCGTCCAAAGGGTTCGGAGATCTTGAATCATAGTCATTATCGAATCATAGGCATTGCGTATACAATACTCTGTTGTTTTCACCGAAATTTTATGCAATCTTTGCTCGTTTAGCCTATTAATCGACTGTTTTACCGACCAACGCTTACCGGCTGAGAGCCTATCAATCAACTGTTTTACCGGCCAACGCTTACCGACCGATACACGATTTATCGACCGCTACCGGTCGGTAAAGTGTTAAGGGATGATTTCACTCAATTTTCTTCGTGGTTTCATAATTATTCTTGACCAAACGAAAGTAATGTTTAATTTCAAATGAATTTTCCTTCGTGAAATCTTCATAATATTTATTATGAGTTAAAATGACCATGCATTCTGTCTTCCAAGGGTTAGGTCAACTTCAGAATATACAGTTTTTCGAGAGTAGCTTGATCATGGTTGTCAAAGAAGAAAAATAGAAAATTAAAGGCTTCATAAACATTACGATCGATCGTTTTCGACACTCGTTCGATATAAGCAAAGGCGTAAACACTATAATGATAAATTTGACGCGAATAGAAGAGGATTACAGCTTGCCAAACGTCCTTGGAATGCCGGGAAAGTGAGTTAGGCTTTTACTGAACTTCCAATGCTTGTTCTCGCTACGATTGGACGTTCACCCCGGTTTTTGCGGTTTGACTACTCGAAGAGATCCCCTTTCTTGGTGTTCGCTTCCTTTCTATGGTTTTTAGCTTCCAGAGAAAGCGTCTTACGCTTCCTGTATTACCGTGAACGTCAATTTTCGATCGTGGATCGAAAGTTATTCGTTTCTCTGATCAATGGCGTCGCTGTTTGTGATTCCAGGCTATCGCGATGCGTCTGTTCAAACGTCAGGCATCTGATACCAGTCCTCAGCTTGTCTCGGCCACGCCATTGTCTCAGGATGGAACTGCTGTCGATGAGAACTCTGAAAAAAAGAAGACGCAGAGCGAAAACGATGGTTCGGGACGAGAAAACGCTGGAGACGCGGTGAAACCCTCTTCTTCTCAATCTTGCGTATCTAATCGCAAAGGTAAAATGTTCAAAACTCTAAAAATCAATGTTCTAATTTGGGTAATTAACTTTAATCGAGTGGTGCTTCTAAAGTATGATAAAGTCTCTCCATAAATAAATTTTGAAATCGTACTTTCTAGAAAATATTTTAGCGTTTGATTAGAATGTTTTAGAAATCTTTATGAAAATTAATTCTGTTTGACCTAATTTCTGACTTAATTTCTGACTCAATTTCTTTTAGTATTTATTGAAAATTATTCACTTAAAATGAATTATTATAAATTAAATTTATATTTAAATAAATTTAAGTTGAATTTTCATTTAGCGTTTGATTAGAATGTTTTAGAAATCTTTATGAAAATTAATTCTGTTTGACCTAGTTTCTGACTCAATTTCTTTTAGTATTTATTGAAAATTATTCACTTAAAATGAATTATTATAAATTAAATTTATATTTAAATAAATTAAAGTTGAATTTTCATTGAAATTATTTTTACAATATTATATTTTAAGCGTGGTATCACTCTTCATATATTTTCTAATTTTCTCGTTGAAATCATGAAGCGTTACAGCGTTTAATGCACTCATGATAGCTAAATTTCATGTGAAATTGATAGTAATTAACACTTTACCGACTGGTAGCCTATTAATCGACTGTTTTACCGACCAACGCTTACCGACTGATAGCCTATTAATCAACTGTTTTATCGGTCGGTAAGCGTTGGTCGGTAAAACAGTCGATCAATAGGCTATCCGGTCGGTAATGCGTTAATAATGCATTAAACCAACGATTATTAATTAAATCTGTGTTGGAGTGTTATTAGAGGTATTTATTAATGCAAATTTGTTATTTCAGAAAAATAAAAACGTATGAAATGCTTCTTCTAACACTTATCTAACGATTTGGATAAACGAGAGCATCCCACGATTGCTTTATTTATCGCTAAAAATATCAGACACGTTTTATAGTGTTAGTGAATGCTTTCATGACTTTCCTGTAAAGTGACGTGCCATTATGAAGCAGAAATTAACGCGATTCGTGGTTTGCATCGCAGGAATTTCGACATGGGGTAGGAAAGTGGGTCGAAGATGGGATCAGCTGAAGAGATCGGATAGTTCGGAGTTGCTTTCGGTCTCGAGCCGAAGGAGACGATGGAGCCCGAACCGGAAGAGCTGCGGCGACGTCACGGACGAGAAAGAAAAAGTAAATACTTTAATTTACACCTAATTAATTTAATTACTCGACTCGATCTCACCTGTTTGGTAACCTGCCAATCACCACTCTTTCCTGGAATCAGTAATTTAACTGGAGCGTTGCATCAAAATGCTCGATAGAGATCTAACGTAGATGAAAGTGAATAAATAAACGATATCAATTATACTGAAAGTTCTAGAATCTTGTGTTGCGTAAGGAAAATTTATGTAATCGATTTAAACGTTTCTAATCAGAGCACTCTTCTTCGATATTATGTTTAACACTTTACCGACCGATAGCCTATTAATCGACTGTTTTACCGGCCAACGCTTACCGACCGATAGCCTATTAATCAACTGTTTTATCGGTCGGTAAGCGTTGGTCGGTAAAACAGTCGATTAATAGGCTATCGGTCGGTAATGTGTTAACATAAATTTTGTATAATACAACAGCATACAGCATCGAATAACCTTCAAAAGGAAATGGAAAAATTCGACACTTATTTTCCAATAAATTCGTTTTTCAGGCCAATGAAATTTGTTTCATTCGATGTTATTTGAAGCTCATTAGTTGACGTGTACTGCAATATTGCATTATAAAAAAAATGACTAAACTGAGAATTGCTCTGGCGATATAAAGGAACGAAACAAAAGACATATTTGCAAGGTAAATGGTGCAGCTTCTTTAATTACAAGATTCGATTGTGTTCAGAGTTGCAGCCCATCGCCAGAGTTACCAAAGCCAAAGAGAGTGTCCAGAGTGGAGTCCCTGCGGAACTTGTTCAGGAGCACGGAACGTAACAGCAATCTCCTAGGGGGTGAAGTGTCCAGGAACGTGACTATCCAAGAGGAGGATGTCACCTGCATCAGTCATTATCCAATGGAGAAAGCCCTGAGCGAAGGTGCTATAAAAAACGTACCCTTTCGCGCCAGCGCTGATGACAGTCGACTGGGTCGCGAATCCCTTCTGCACGAGAAGAAGAAACAGATCAGTCGCAGCATCCAGGACCTCCAGGAGCAGCAAAGAGTGTTGGATTATATTTTGAAGAATCATGGCATGCTGAAGACGCAAGAGGGATCAGATTTTGCTAGGGAAACCTTGGGCGATGTGAGGAGAAGCTCGAGTCCAAAACAACGAACCGGTCGGTCCACGTCGGATGGTAGCAAAAACAGTGTATCGACGCACACGAAAGACTTTCTTAGCAGTCAGCTGAATAATATTAAGAGGAACCTTTTCAACACGCGCGCCAGCGTCAGCGAATGTGATAGGTCAGAATTGCTTTTAGCTATGGTTACTAAAAATAGCTTCCAATATTGCAGGGAACATTCGTTAAATGTCTGTAATAATTATGACATGACAGATAACTAATGATCAAAGTGAACTTTTAGCTTTTAAGATAAAGAATTAATCCAGGAAGAGGTAGCTCCTTGTGAATGTTTCAAGAGGTTATTAAAAATGAGTGTAGATAGACGTTTTCACAGACTTGTGTCTTTCATGTTAACTGTGCAAGAGAAAAACATCATCTTGATCTCTGTTTAATTCCGTAGAAGTTACTTCTTTAGACTTTGTTTTTGTGAGTTACCTTGTAACGTGAAATCATTTACAGACGTAATATAAAACCATGTGTTACCAATACTAGAGCTACTAAAGCAGTCGAAATGACCCATTCATAATTTTTAATAACAGTTTTATTAACCCAGACCTAACCCAGACCTAACCCAGATCTAATCCAGATCTAATCCAGACCTAACCCAGAGCTAATCCAGACTTAAAACAGATCTAACCCAGACCTAACCCAGACCAATTCATCGCTGACAACGGGGGTTAGGTCTGGGTTAGGTCTGGATTAGGTCTAGATTAGGTCTGGGTTAGGTCTGGGTTAGGTCTAGATTAGGTCTGGGTTAGGTCTGGGTTAGGTCTAGATTAGGTCTGGGTTAGGTCTGGGTTAGGTCTGGATTAGATCTGAGTTAGGTCTGGGTTAGGTCTGGATTAGATATGAGTTAGATCTGGGTTTGGTCTGGAATAAGTCTGGGTTAGGTCTGGGTTAGGTCTGGGTTAGGTCTGAATTAAGTCTGGGTTAGGTCTGGGTTAGGTCTGAATTAAGTCTGGGTTAGGTCTGGGTTAGGTCTGAATTAAGTCTGGGTTAGGTCTGGGTTAGGTCTGAATTAAGTCTGGGTTAGGTCTGGGTTAGGTCTGAATTAAGTCTGGGTTAGGTCTGGGTTAGGTCTGGATTTATAGATAACCTTATTCCCCAAGGGAATAGATTTATTTTGCTTTAAATAGATTTAACCCAGACCTAACCCAGACCTAACCCGGACCTAATCCAAATCTAATCCAGACCTAACCCAGACCTAATCCAGATCTAATCCAGTCCTAACCCAGACCTAAAACAGACCTAACCCAGACCTAACCCAGACCTAACCCAGACCTAACCCAGACCTAACCCAGACCTAACCCAGACCTAACCCAGACCTAACCCAGACCTAACCCAGACCTAACCCAGACCTAACCCAGACCTAACCCAGACCTAACCCAGACCTAACCCAGACCTAACCCAGACCTAACCCAGACCTAACCCAGACCTAACCCAGACCTAACCCAGACCTAACCCAGACCTAACCCAGACCTAACCCAGACCTAACCCAGACCTAACCCAGACCTAACCCAGACCTAACCCAGACCTAACCCAGACCTAACCCAGACCTAACCCAGACCTAACCCAGACCTAACCCAGACCTAACCCAGACCTAACCCAGACCTAACCCAGATCTAACTCAGACCTAACCCAGACCTAACCCAGACCTAACCCAGACCTAAAACAGACCTAAACCAGACCTAACCCAGACCTAACCCAGACCTAACCCAGACCTAACCCAGATCTAACCCAGATCTAACTCAGATCTAACCCAGACCTAACCCAGACCTAACTCAGATCTAACCCAGATCTAATTCAGACCTAACCCAGCTAGTTTCAATAATTGTCGATAGTTCTAATGTCCGTAAGTTACTCCAAACCTGCATTTACCTTCACCAATATCAATTTTAGATCAACCTAAAATTTCAAATAGTTAAAATCGTGTGTTCTCATTTACAGAACCGATGCTCAAAGAACTTGCCCAACGACAGGTCTGGAAGACCTGATGAACAACCTGCGATTAGGTTGCGACGAGAGTGGCTACGACTCCGACAGCACGCGAGCTGGAGCGGATTCTCCTGACAGCGAGAACTCTGTACCAGCGATGTTGAAACCGCGTAGCTTCTCCATAACCTCCGACGACTACCACGGGATCGATTTGTCGTTGCCAGTCAGCACTCCGAAGAAGACAGACGAGACTACGAGGACCGAGGAAACTGAAACGGGAGCTTCCTGTCTCGACGAGACTCTGGTCGAGAACAACTCGTTAAGTCTGTTGAACGAGTCCACGAGAACAAACACTACTACTTTGCTATCCGATGAGGACGACACCGACAGCTGTGACGAGGATACCTTCGCTGGGTTTCCAGAGTTTCGGATGAGCTGCAATACAGAGTACGCAAAATCCGATGCCAACACCTTGCCAAAAAGCTACATCGACTCGTCGAAGGCAACCTCAATCAACGCAGGTGTGTCGAGGACATTTTGCAATCTCTCGAGCAAAGAGCTCTCCAGGCTACCGGAGAAGAGGTCGGTGAAGTTGCAGAGCTTGCAGAAGGAGACCAGGTCTCACATACCATTAAAATCTCGTAAACACGCGAAAGCATCCCCCAGCGCGGTGTATTTGCTAGAAACCGCCGCGTCTCCATGTAAAGACAGTCCACCAGCATCGAAGATGAACTCTACGATCGTGAGCAACCCTCTGCAGTACTACAGTCCAAAGAGATCGCGATCCCAGATGGAGCTGAAGAACTCAGACACCTTGAACTCGAGGAACAAGGCGAAGAGACTGGCGCAATCGACGAAGATGGCGCCTCCAGCGACCCCAGCCAAGACCTTGATCCGTCGAGAACTGAAAACTATGAAGCTGTTCGTGGAGAGACCCGGGTGTCTTGGTATTTCCGTGGAGAGGCGAGAGGCTGTCAGACCTTTCTACGTGATTTCCAAGATGGACGCGATCGGGGAGGCGGCCAAGTCGAAGCAGTTTCGGATCGGTGACGAGATCGTGCGTGTTTGCGGGAGGAGGCTGCGCGGAATGTCGATCCTCGAGGCTAGGAACGCGCTGAGGAGCTGCACGGGGACTGTCGAGTTGCAGATAGCTAGGGAGCCCACTTTCACGTTTGGCGAGGAGCTGGGTGACACTTGGAGCGACACTTGGGGGGACATATTGGTCCGTACTCGTAGCGACTCCGAGGTGTGGACGTTGAAACAGGAGAAGACGGAAGTTCCGGTCTCGGTGGACTCGCCCAAGTGCAAAGTAGTCGGTGCACTGACGAAAGACGGGAATTACGTGTCCGCGGATCGCATGGAAGGCGAGTCGTGCACGAAAAAGGGCTCCGATCAGAAGATGACTGGCATGAGGAAGTTCTACGTGGTGAGGAAACGCGACAATCCGGTTTCCTGTCCGCGCAGGGCGACTAGTCTCACGATGGATCTGCTGACGATCACTCTGGAGAAAAGTGGGACGAAGAAGTTGGGTTTCTCGATCGTCGGTGGATCGGATAGTAACAAAGGATCGATGGGCATCTTCGTGAAGGATATCATGGCTGGTGGCCAGGCGGCTGACGATGGTACTCTCAGAGTTGGAGACGAGATTCTGGCTATCAATGGAATATCGATGAATGGATTGACACATGCGAGGGCCTTGCAGACTTTTAAGGCCGCCAAGCCTGGAAAAATGATCTTCCACGTGGGTCGAAGGGACCCCACGCACAAACGGTTGTCTCGCAGACGATAGAATTCTTGTTGATCGTAACTTTGGGTTAGTTCTATGGTGCTTTTGCTTTATTATTACACTCTTAAACAGCGCTGCGCGTAACACTTTTAACAATAGATTTAGGGACTGATTTGACTCATTAAAAAGCTGATTACTGTATGTATATGAAACTTAAAATGGTGGATTTTAGTTACGTAATGAAGTATATGGAAATGTTGATTCCTCTCTGCTTTTATGGTTGTGAGCCAATTTGACTGATAAAGGAATTGAACAGTTAACTGATTTAAACACAGAAAATATGTGATTTACATGTAAATATAAACTCTTGTTATATTGTAAATATAAACTATGCTTGTTTTGTATACGATCAAATGATCTGACTAGCTCGTTCGACGATAGGGCTTGTTTGCTATTCAATGATTAATGAATACGTGTCAGTCTAACCCAGACCTAACCCAGACTTAATTCAGACCTAACCCAGACCTAACCCAGACTTAATTCAGACTTAATCCAGACCTAACCCAGACCAATTCATCGCTGATAACGGAGGTTAGGTCTGGGTTAGGTCTGTGTTAGGTCTGGGTTAGGTCTGGGTTAGGTCTGGGTTAGGTCTGGAATAAGTCTGGGTTAGGTCTGGGTTAGGTCTGGAATAAGTCTGGGTTAGGTCTGGAATAAGTCTGCGTTAGGTCTGGGTTAGGTCTGGATTAGATCTGAGTTAGATCTGGGTTAGGTCTGGGTTAGGTCTGGAATAAGTCTGGGTTAGGTCTGGGTTAGGTCTGGAATAAGTCTGGGTTAGGTCTGGAATAAGTCTGCGTTAGGTCTGGGTTAGGTCTGGATTAGATCTGAGTTAGATCTGGGTTAGGTCTGGGTTAGGTCTGGAATAAGTCTGGGTTAGGTCTGGGTTAGGTCTGGAATAAGTCTGGGTTAGGTCTGGAATAAGTCTGCGTTAGGTCTGGGTTAGGTCTGGATTAGATCTGAGTTAGATCTGGGTTAGGTCTGGGTTAGGTCTGGGTTAGGTCTGGAATAAGTCTGGGTTAGGTCTGGGTTAGGTCTGGGTTAAATCTATTTAAAACAAAATAAATCTATTCTCTGGGGGAATAAGGTTATCTATAAATCCAGACCTAACCCAGACCTAACCCAGACCTAACCCAGATCTAACCCAGATCTAATCCAGACCTAACCCAGACCTAACCCAGATCTAACCTAGATCTAATCCAGACCTAACCCAGATCTAACCCAGATCTAATCCAGACCTAACCCAGACCTAACCCAGATCTAACCTAGATCTAATCCAGACCTAACCCAGATCTAACCCAGATCTAATCCAGACCTAACCCAAACCTAACTCAGATCTAACCCAGACCTAACCCAAACCTAACCCAGATCTAATCCAGACCTAACCCAGATCTAACCTAGATCTAATCCAGACCTAACCCAGACCTAACCCAGACCTAAAACAGACCTAACTCAGATCTAACCCAGACCTAACCCAGGCCTATAAACTTCATGTTAAATAAACCTATTTTCACAAGATAGATAACAAAAAAACTAACATTAAATCTAATAGTAATACTGGTCTTATTTATTGAATAATGCAAGTAAATTTGCACGAATATTATTGGGATGTGCTTAAGACTAATATAATTGTATTTTAATGCTTTCGTTGTTCTAATGAAGAACAATACTATGTTACAGATACATAATTCAATCGAAATCGTACGATTGCTTGGACAAATTGACGGAGACTGGAGTCGAATAGAAAGCAAGAAGATCCAAATCACATCAAAATTGCACTGATTTCATTTTGACGAGCGAATCGAATGTATATTAGTCGTGGGGGAAGAAAAGTATATGTATATATTTTCGTATAAAAATTTCAGCACGTTGTTTACGATTCACGATCGTTGACTGTCGATTATACATAATTAACCGATTATATTGTAATCATATTCATTTTTTTTCATCGTGAAGGTTGATAAAGCGTTTGTAGAATTTTACAATTAGTGTATCGTAATCAGCGTGCATGTGACTTTTTGTGTAATAATGTCACGCGTTCGAATTGACCTACATTTGTAATAATTATTTTCCTTAAGATAGTAATTGTGATATCGGTTGACTATTTTTATTAAAGAGCAATCTAAGTAAGTATTTCTTCAATTATTGCTTCAAAACTAATGAGATTAATTACGGCTGATAGTTCCATTTAAAAACAGAGATTTTTCAATAATTTCGTAAGTGTATTTATTTCAGTAATCAAACTACTGTTAAATTGGCGTGTTTAAAATTAATTGCAATAGAATTACGTATAAAAAAGAATGTTTTCGTGGTTATATTTCTGCGGATATGTAAATATATGTTTTCGGTTTTTAACAGGATGAATTCATTTGTTTCGTAGAGAAATCGTAATTGTAATAATAATTATAACAAAAATTGTACATAGTCATGTCCCGTTAGATGTAGAAACGCTAACACGTTGGATGATGGCTGTTTAATTTCCGGTGTAGTGCAGATTTAACATATGTTTCCAATCGAAACATATTTTCGTTTAATATCAGCTACGCACCAGCTCTGAATGATTATCATTAACTCATAGTTCGCTCATAGTTCGCTACTCAATTAGGTTTAAGCGTTTCGCGGATTAATACTTTTAAGCTACTGAGACTGACATTCGGAATGTCTACCTGAGAAATGCTGTGATATTCATTGTAGTCGCATTAGCTGGTATCGTACAAACTGTATTTATAATGAACCTGGTTTTGTTAATAAATCTATGTACATGGTTAGCTCGCTTTCTACCGTCTGCAATTTTCTCATTAACATTGTTTAAGCACTCCATTTTGGAAACGTGGTAACATATTAACACTTTACCGACCGGTAGCGGTTGATTAATCGGTCGGTAAGCGTTGGTCGGTAAAACAGTTGATTGATAGGCTCTCAGCCGGTAAGCGTTGGTCGGTAAAACAGTCGATTAATAGGCTATCGGTCGGTAATGTGTTAATAAGAAGCATTCGTTGTTTCAAATGATCCGGCATAGAGTCTGCTACGCGCAGAAGGTAAAAATAAAAACATACAACGTCGTGATATTGTTATTATTATTGTATTTATTTGAAAATTAATTCGATTTTGCATTTGGACTGAATTATTTTCATTTATTGTGCTGTCATTTAGGTTTTTAGGTTATTATTTAGGTTTTTCGAGCTTCCTGTTGCATTCGTTACATTTCACACGATAAAAGGTACGTGAATTTCGTATTTTTACATAATTCTTTTAAATTTCTGTTGGAAGGGACTCAAATTATTATGTTATCATTTTATAAAGTTCACTGAATTCTAAAATTTGTCGATGCATGTGTTTCATGTATTAATTTATCTCCTATAGTGAATTCATATACAAAAATACCATTCAATAGAAGCCTGCCTTTATAAAAATTAATTCAGCCATAATGACTTGAACGAAAACGTTACATAAAGTGCAGTTATGCTAAATAAGGCTGCACAAGACAAATGATTCCTCACGTTCAATCAAAACTACTCGAATAGTCAATTTACAATATTTAATTATTGATCATTTTCACTGGATATATGAAAATTCCTTTTTTTTTTGCGTTATAAAATACATATTTACATCGTAACATAGACATTGCGCTATAATTACAAGATTTTTTAAAATATAATCACAAAAATCCTTATCTTAACTTGGTCGGTAAAACAGTCGATTAATACGCTATCGGTCGGTAAGTGTTGGCCGGTAAAACAGTCGATCAATCGGTCGGTAATGTGTTAATTTGCCACCAACAGGTTAAACTATTCGCTTAAGTATTCAAGTGTATATCAAAGAGAACGTCATTACACGAAATTCAGATTTACCGATTAAAATGTTTAAAAAAATTATTTCGTTATTCAAACATATACTGCACATATGATTCTTTATAATAAATAAGCCTTTCAATTATTAATTCATGAGCTAAAAAGAGAAAAAGCTGATTTCTCTCACATCTTATTACTCAGAGGAACTGTTTAAAGCTCCTTGCATTTTCGTTTCAGTCATTTTTTTGCAATTGCGACTGAGACGGTGAGTGTATCACATTTTATAGTCCTGAACCACCAGAGTATGAAGCAGTAGGTGAGGGATGATGTTACAGGCGCTAGGGAGCTGGAAGATAAGTTTGTTGGGGGGCAGGGTAGTTATTTTGGGGCTGTGGAGCTGGATAACTAGGTCTAGGTGGCGGATAATAGGGCTGAGGGGGTGGTGAAGGTTGTGGGTAACTTGGTTGAGGAGGAGGGTAACTTGGTCGTGGAGATGGAGCTGGGTAACTTGGTCGAGGAGCAGGGTAGCTTGGTTGAGGTGCAGGAGCTGGATAACTTGGTCTTGGCTGAGGAGCAGGGTAACTTGGTCTTGGCTGAGGAGCAAGATAACTTGGCTGAGGTGCAGGGTAGCTTGGTTGAGGAGCTGGGTAACTTGGTCTTGGCTGAGGAGCTGGATAACTTGGCTGAGGAGCAGGGTAACTTGGTCTTGGAGAAGGAGCTGGATAACTTGGCTGAGGTGCAGGGTAGCTTGGTTGAGGAGCAGGGTAACTAGGCCTTGGAGAAGGAGCTGGATAGCTTGGCTGAGGTGAGGGATAACTTGGCTGAGGGGAAGGATAACTTGGTTGAGGAGAAGGAGCTGGATAACTTGGCTGAGGAGCAGGGTAACTAGGCCTTGGAGAAGGAGCAGGATAACTTGGCTGAGGAGAAGGAGCTGGATAACTTGGCTGAGGTGAGGGATAACTTGGTTGAGGAGTAGGATAACTTGGCTGTGGAGAAGGAGCTGGATAACTTGGCTGAGGAGCAGGGTAACTTGGTTGAGGAGCAGGGTAACTAGGCCTTGGAGAAGGAGCTGGATAACTTGGCTGAGGTGAGGGATAACTTGGTTGAGGAGCAGGATAACTTGGCTGTGGAGAAGGAGGAGGATAACTTGGCTGAGGAGCAGGAGGAGGATAACTTGGCTGAGGAGCAGGAGCAGGATAACTTGGCCTAGGCGTTGGAGAAGTATTATAAGCAGGGGAAGTCGTTGTTGTAGAACTGGGGTAACTGTATCCCTCAGTAGAAACTGACGAACTGAACGCTGATGCAGACGACGATGATGATGTTGTAGGTGCTGGTGAAGTGAACGTTGGGGCAGTTGCTGCGGAGTTTCCAGCCGATGTAGAGTACGGTCTGGTTACTTTGACGTCGCTGAACGCCTGTGCCGATGCTGTGCTCGTCGGGAAGCTGGCGGGTCCTCGAAAATCTTGACCTTGCGGTTCCACTTGGCCGAACGGTGGTAGATAGGTTGGCGCTGGCGTTGAGTACGTTGGTTGCGTTGGTGGAGGTGAAGGGGGCGTTGGAGGTGGTGAAGGTGGAGGTGTTGGAGATGGAGGTGTTGGAGGAACATAAGTGCGTGGTGTTGGTGGTGGCGTTGAAGGAGGTGGTTGTGGGGGAGGCGACGGTGGTGCTACATATTTCGGTTGCGGCGGTGGTGTTGGAGGCGGTGCTGGGGGTGGTAGATACGAAGGGGCATACGTAGGAGTAGAGCTAGTTTGATAGGTTGTCGGATTGCTAGTAGGAGGTGGGAATGGTATTCTTGGTATCTCGTAAACGTATCCCGCCTGGCGAGCCGTCCGTTGAGTCTGTCCAGCAGCGCAGTTGAACAACACCAATATCTCCAACTGCACACGAAGCAATGAACAAAGTATCTTTTATAAAAAATATTCTTTGTTAGGAGTCTACGTACCCATTCTAATGGCCGCATAATCAGTTATACCTCCCAAAACAAAGTGACAACGCCTTTTATACACTCCCCTGTTGCTAACTTCGCGCTCGGCACTTTGCCCGAAACCGCACGTTTCGAAATATTCCACCAAACAGACGTCCGCGAGATTGTTTGCGTCCCGGTTGCATCGAGGGCTATTAGATCCGTGATTACACTCCTCGAGAAGGGTGACATTTTTGTTTGCTCATCTCGTACACGAAATCCTAGTGAGGAACGTCGTTTCGTTACGACTACATCGTTCACCATAAATACGCTTGTTTACCTAATTTGTAATGTCGACACAGTCAACAGGAACTCGTCCTTGTTCGATCCTAGACTTTTGAATCGTGTTCTCTTGTGAAATCCTGAGGAATTGTATTTTTGCTGAACTGTATTGTTGGAATTGTTACGTTGTGCAGTGTATTCAATTGCTAAAGTGTTGTCACCTGATTATAGCGTAACAGTAGTCTACCTGCTAATTGTGTAGCGGAAAGGAGTAATTACAGAGCATTTATCCACTCTCACGATTCCACTGATATTAATTTCATGGCAAAGCTGACTCTAATCACACAGTATTCTATTTTATGCAGTTTTAGGAACTTCAGCGACATTTACTTTAGTTTTATGATAGGTGACTGTGTGATATGACAATATCGTGATAAGCAAGACACCAGAGGATGTCATCTTCCCTTGACTGGGACCTATATCCATCATGCTTGCTGGTTGTAAACAAATTATCGATAAAAAGAGAGGTCTTTTGTCACGGTGCACTTGTCAGAATTGCGCAAGTGCAGCTGCAACGCCATCAGTGCAAAATGGCGTCGCGGCAAAACATCGTCCAAGTGGGATTCCCCGTGAAAGAATCGATGGAACACAGCTGTGTGTTCCTCGAGCAACTATAATGGCAATCGGGCTTCAATTTTCTCCCCGTTTTTTCTCTCTTTCTCTGTTTGCTCGCGAGAGTTCGCTAATGTAGCGTTGATCCGAAACGCCGCGACAAATTGGAATGCGCGCGCACTTTCGCTTACGAACACCATCGACGGGGCTCGTAAATCTTCTTGTGCAAACTTATCGGCCCCGACAGGTGGGTTAATGCGATTTTTATTCTCGAACCTGTTATGATTAATCGCGAACGGAGAGGTCCGGTAATTATGTTCTCTCTTTCTTTTTTCTTTTTTTTTCACGATGTCGAGAATCGACGCGTGATAATTACGTTCATTCCCAGATCGGGCAATTAGCGAGTCCAGAATTTTTTTTTGAAGGCCTGATTAGGTCTCGCGGTACTTTTAGTTTAGGGTTTGCATCGCTGGTCTTTTCAAGTACAAAATGGAGTATCTTGTTTGATAAATTATATCCCAGAAATATCAATTTTAATTTTCTTATGTATTATACATTTTTCTATGACTATGAAGAGTAAGATTGGTTCTGTCTATTTCATTTTGCACTCGAAATTCTTCATTTTTCTTACGCCATTATGCGTTCTTTGGAACCAAATACATTAAATGCTGTTATTTGCATCCATAATGGACGTTATAGAGAGAAATATTACTTGGAAGTGTTCCACGGGTCAAAAAAAGGGAAACAATTTTCTCAATAACAATATTTCAAAACGTATGAGATCCTTGTGCATTACTGAAAACATAAATCACGATGTTTACAGTCTCCTTTCTGTTGCAGAGCCCCCCAAGGCGGATATTGCTGATGAAAGAAAGGCGCATGGGTCCTCGAAAGTCCTCGAAAGTCCAAAAAGTAAACAATTCGAGGAAGAACGAGTGTGAAACAGATGACCAGGCCAGTTTTGTAGCAGAAAGACGCCACAGTCCAATTTGTTTTGCGGCACAAGTCTCTGTTCCTGTGTACTCTGCAATCATTGGCACGAGGGAAGCCTAATGCCATAGTCGGGAACTCCAGCAGGGATCACGCGACCATTATCTCCTCGCATAACTAAACTTTCCATAGTCCAGATGGCCTGGAAGAGCCATTCTTTCCTTTCATCTTCGTCGAAAACGATGCCACTGCTAGTGGGCCCCAAAGAACGATTCCATCTCGCGACAAAATTTGGAAACTAAGCACTTTATATAAGAATTTTATACACATGTTACCGTGAATGACCGAAATTGGAGAATGTCAACTTTCACCGGTGAATGTCAACAGATACCAAATACGTCGGTGAAAGATCGAATATTTCATTACATTGTTGTACATTCGGACCCTCTCCGGTGTGTGTCGACAATCACAGATATGCTCTGGTGGACGTCCAAAACAGAAGAGTCAAAAAACAAGCGACTGGCTCTCTCCTGCCAAATCCTTTGTTCTGCTAGGAGTCGATCAGCTTTGTCAGTCTTATGCAAGCTTTGATAACGCGAGCAACGTTTTCTTAATTTTTTTTCCGATACCCTAATTTATACTAAATGGATACTGCAGTAAATCGTGATCTTTTTCTAACGCAGACCTAACCCAGACCTAACCCAGACCTAACCCAGACCTAACCCCCGTTATCAACGATGAATTGGTCTGGGTTAGGTCTGGTATAAGTCTGAATTAAGTCTGGGTTAGGTCTGGGTTAGGTCTGAATTAAGTCTGGGTTAGGTCTGGGTTAGGTCTGGGTTAGGCCTGAATTAAGTCTGGGTTAGGTCTGGGTTAGGTCTGAATTAAGTCTGGGTTAGGTCTGGGTTAGGTCTGAATTAAGTCTGGGTTAGGTCAGGGTTAGGTCTGGGTTAGGTCTGAATTAAGTCTGGGTTAGGTCTGGGTTAGGTCTGAATTAAGTTTGGGTTAGGTCTGGGTTAGGTCTGGGTTAGGTCTGGGTTAGGTCAGGGTTAGGTCTGGGTTAGGTCTGAATTAAGTCTGGGTTAGGTCTGGGTTAGGTCTGAATTAAGTCTGGGTTAGGTCTGGGTTAGGTCTGGGTTAGGTCTAAATTAAGTCTGGGTTAGGTCTGGGTTAGGTCTGGGTTAGGTCTGAATTAAGTCTGGGTTAGGTCTGGGTTAGGTCTGGAAGAAAAATTAGATTTTCTAATTAGCAAACTCGTCTTTTTAAGAGTAAATTAAGACCTAACCCAGACATAATTCAGACTTATTCCAGACCTAACCCAGACCTAACCCAGACTTAATTCAGACCTAACCCAGACCTAACCCAGACCTAAACCAGACTTAATTCAGACCTAACCCAGACCTAACCCAGACTTAATTCAGACCTAACCCAGACCTAACCCAGACTTATTCCAGACCTAACCCAGACCTAACCCAGACCTAACCCAGACTTAATTCAGACCTAACCCAGACCTAACCCAGACTTATTCCAGACCTAACCCAGACCTAACCCAGACTTAATTTAGACCTAACCCAGACCTAACCCAGACCTAACCCAGACTTAATTCAGACCTAACCCAGACCTAACCCAGACTTATTCCAGACCTAACCCAGACCTAACCCAGACTTATTCTAGACCTAACCCAGACCTAACCCAGACTTATTCCAGACCTAACCCAGACCTATCCCAGACCTAACCCAGACCTAACCCAGACTTAATTCAGACTTATTCCAGACCTAACCCAGACCTAACCCCCGTTATCAGCGATGAATTGGTCTGGGTTAGGTCTGGAATAAGTCTGAATTAAGTCTGGGTTAGGTCTGGGTTAGATCCTTTCAGAAAGAGAGGCGAAAAAGTTACGTCACCCTTGTGACGTTTTATAGCGACTGAATTACGGGGGAAGAAAATATAAATCACCAACATGTTCAACACTCACCATTAGTGCATGGTGAATGTCAACATTTACCGGTGTAAGTCAGAAATAAGGGTGTTTAACAAATATTTCGGACATACACTAAGCGACTATGTGAATGTTGACATTCACCGGTGAAAGTCGACATTCTCCAGATTTCGGTGTTTCACTGTAACACATATATCCGTATCTTTCTATTAACTCCTTGGAAATTACGAAATTTCAATAACAATTGAGAAGATTTAACTGACTACGCCTGGCAAAGTATTTTAAGTAATGGGTTAGGTGATAGAAACGAGAAATTGGGCCTTTTTTATGAGAGTTTCACACTTTACGAGGCTAAGGAACAACTTTTCCAACATTCTTTTTAGATATTCTTCACCAAAATACGCGTAGTTTCCATTTTGTAACATTAAAATCCTTCAATTCGTTCAACACTGGCCACACATTATGTTTTCAGTAGGGAAAATTGGCGAAGTTGCGGCAATTTTAACGCGTGTGTATCAAGCTCCTCCAAGTTGGTTCTACCAAACTAGTCTATTCGATAGATTGCAAATGCTCATCGAAGATGTATCAACGTAGCAACATGAGACCAGCTGGAAATAAAGAAAATCCGCCCTCGTGGTATACTTCGTTCGGACCTTGTAAACCTCCATTACGATCGAAGATACCTCGAAACGTGTTCGAAATGAATTAGCCTTAGCGGGGTAGCTCGTGAAGATATCAAAAGCGTGTTTCAAACGTGCAGTAACGCGCAGTTAAACGAAGTTTATGGATAAACCAGGTTGAATATTAACTCGACCACAAGGCCAGCGCGTCTGTGCAACATTATGAGCGTTATTGCTGCATTTCGGGGGCCCCCATGCCGCTCATAAATGCGACTTTATCGGCGCGAACTTCGTCGGGGCCTGTTCGTTATTTCGAAGTCTTTTTTCTGGGGACTTCGATTAAAAATCGGCACCGAAGCCACTCTCAATGCGGAATCGACGTATTTCAGACCGTGGGGGATTATTTACTAACCCCCTGGTAGCGAATTGCCTTTAACTTAACGTTAACGCCCGGAAACAACACGGTCGGTTAGAGAGTGTTGCATAAAAACAAATGTAAAGTCTTAACGATCATTTTCTTTCATGTTGATGGGTTGAAAATACTTAACAAGTGTTTATGATACGGTAAAACCCCGTTTAATAGTTCAGATATGTTTTTAAAAATTTGTACGTCGATGAAATCGCGGTTAAACAGAGTCTTAACCTTGCACGGGCATTGATAGCGCTTGGACTTA